GTATACTAACTGTGCATGTTTTGTGGTAAAATGTAATATTACAGTAATTAGAATGTCCATCTCTTCAAACATTTACTACTTTCTGTGTTGGGAACATTCAATACCCTCTCTACGTATATCAAAATATACAAAAATGTATTTTTAATTACAATTTTTAAGAACTGTGCTATAGAGGACTAGACCTTGATTCTTTTCCATGTATTTCTGTACTCATTATTTGATCTCATTTATCCTCCCCTCCTCTCTGTGCTGCACAGCCTCTATGACTACTATACTCTTAGCTTCTAGGACACCAACATGTTCAGCCTCCACACCTGAGTCACACCCCATGCTCTTGCTCTTTTTACAGTAACGCTCCTCCTTCTTGGCTTGAACAACTGAATGCCACATGTTTTTCTGGGTCTAGCACTGTCTGTTCCTCCTGCAGACACAACTTCCCTAGCGAACCTTGTGGCGCTCACCCCATCTTCCTTGAGATCTTTGTTCAACTGTCATCCTATGTACTGGTTTTGCCTGAAAGATAATTTAAAGAAAATAAAAAACAATAAACATCCATATGGGGTCTGTTTTTATTTACTTTCCTTTTCTTCCAGGCATTTGCCATGATCTCGCATTGTATAAAATGTTTAGTTTGCTTGTGTAGCTTCTCCATCATTAAATGATATGTACAATAGCAATAAGTATTTTGCACTGTTCACGTATCATCTAGGCAGTTCTTTTAACAAGGTTTATATTCAATTTTAAATTTTCTAATGTAAACAAATTTTTTTCATTATAATAAGAGAATACATGATCTCTTAACACCAAGGTGAACATTGGAAAGGAATTCCCTATTACAGATGCCAAAATGGTCCAATAAAGGGAACCAATAAATACATGAATCATAAAAATGATGTGTTGACTATAGAAAAGATATGATATAATTTGGGAAAAATTACTAATGCAAGTCTATTCCTCTTTCATCCCCATACCTCTGTCTCTTTTCTTTCTCTCTCTCCCTCTCTCTCTCTCCCTCCTTCTGTGCAGTTGATATCAACAATATGGAATCCAAGAATTACACACAAAGTGCGCAATTTCTTCTTTTGAGATTTTCAGAAGATCCAGAACTGCAGCCTTTACTGTTTGGAATTTTCCTATCCATGTGCCTGGGCACTGTGTTAGAGAACCTGCTCATCGTACTGGCCACAGTGTCAGACTACCGACTGCGCACACCCATGTGCTTCTTCCTCTCCAACCTTTCTTTTATGGACACTGGTTTCACCTCCACCACAGTACCAAATATGCTGGTGAACATCCAGACACAGAGCAAGGTCATAAGATATAAAGGCTGTGTCACTCAAGTGTATTTTTTCATGCTGTGTCTAATGTTGCACGATATTCTGTTGACTGTGATGTCCTATCACCGTTATGTGGCCGTTTGCCACCCTCTGCATTACATGGTCATCATGAACCCCAAGCTCTGTGTGTTGCTGGTTCTAGCATGTTGGATGCTGAGTGTCCTAAATGCTCTGCTACAAAGCTTAATGGTGTTACAGCCGTCCTTCTGTACTGACTTGGAAATCCCACATTTTTTCTGTGACCTAAATCAAATAGTGCACTCTGCCTGTCCTGACACTTTCCTAATGATGTGGTGACTTATGTTACCACTGTGCTGCTGGGTGGCGGTCCCCTTGTTGGCATTCTTCTCTCTTATTGTAAGATAGCTTCCTCCATGCATGCAGTCTCAGCTCAGGGGAGATATAAAGCACTTTCCAGCTGTACATCTCATCTGTCAGGTGTCTCCTTATTCTATGGCACAAGCCTAGGTGTGTACCTTAGTTCTGCTGTCGCCCAAAACTCATACTCAACAGCCACAGCCTCGGTAATGTACAGCGTGGTCACACCCACGCTAAACCCCTTCATCTACAGTCTAAGGAATAAAGACATCAAGAGTGCTCTGAAAATATTATTTACGAGGGCAACTAGGAGCTGGATAATGTGCTCATGATTACCATTTAAACTTTTCTATATTACTTATTTTCCTGTTATTTTCTTAA